TCAGTTCGCACATGCACTGTGAGATTTTTTTTTGCACTAGTTAGTTTGTCCACAAGGTGGCAGCAATGCACAGTCCTGTCGTTTCACATACGTAAAAGAAAATGAGATGGAACAACAATGACAAAGTACCGGAGAAGCAACAATACTAGTTGCTCCATCTCATTTTCTTTTACGAATGTGAGATGAGATGGAACAACAATGACAAAGTACCGGAGAAGCAACAATACTAGTTGCTCCATCTCATTTTCTTTTACGAATGTGAGATGAGATGGAACAACAATGACAAAGTACCGGAGAAGCAACAATACTAGTTGCTTGTGTTGACACAAGGGGTAAAGATATATGTGCAACTCTAGATTGAGTACGGAGAAATCTTTTTCGATCATGACTTCTGGAGAGAAATAGCACATGTTTTGAGCGCTTGTTCACTCAGAGTATTCTTTGAAAGGCTGTTAATTTAGTTGTACGCGATGCAAAATATAAGTATACTTTGGGCTTAAAGGTGTGGTCACATTTATCGTTTTGTCGAAATTTCACAGGGGTGGAATCCAGTCATTCCAATAGGAATCAATGTGATTGGGAGTTTGTGAGAGGGCGAAAATGTTCCCTATGCAGATTTTTATTTTTTTTGTTGGTCACGTGAATTTTCCGCGTTGATCTAATGAAAGTTGCTTGCTACACAAGTGACTTTTGCATGAGCTATACTTTATTATTGTTCGCTAATGTGACCGCATCAAAGCTTTGCGCAAAAATTGTTCCGCATTCCAATTCAAGACATTCTTGGCACCTTCTTTCCTACCTCTGTGCATAATTTTTTTTCCCCCACTCATATTTCCGCTCATTTTCAAGTTGGTCACACAAATTGCCATACTGACCAACAGAAAGTGTCTTGGTTTGAAAGTAACTTCTGTGTGAGCTTTGCTGCTTGCATTACTACGCTATTGACAACAGACAGCAGACTTTTTGCCCCCCAAATTTTCACTGATGTGATCGCATCTTAAAGGGGTCCTATTATGCTTTCTCACTTTTTCAACTTTAGTTAGTCTGTAATGTCACTTAAGTTACAGTCATCCGGGTTTAAATCGCGCTCAAATTGATTTGATTTTGATGCAATATTTACACTGAAGCTCGCAGGCGGCTATGGTAAGGGGCATGACATTTCCCGACCAGGCGCCGAGTGGAGCCAATCACAACACACACTGGCCCAGCTAACCAATCACATCACATTTCGTATTTCAGAAGGCGGGCCTTCATTTGATACAGGAACTATTCGAGCCGTTCATGCCAGACTGGGGAGAGAGGTGTTGTAATAATGTAAAATATGTGAATCAAATGTGTTTTTCGAACAACCTAGTATGAGAGCCTGTTCTAGTACACCCCCAAAACAAAATCAAGACTTTGTAAAAGAGCATAATAGGACCCCTTTAATAAAACGATTTTTGTGAAAGTTGTTCGGTATCCCAATTCCAGCCGTTCTCGATCCCTTTCCTCCCACCTCCGTGTGTTATTTTTGTTTTCTCCACTTGCCACAGAGCAGCAATGATCCATTTGTCGTGGGCACATTACCATTGCTTCGTAATATTTTGTGAAAAAGTTCCCCATGCAGATTTCGCTCATTTTCAAGTTGGTTACAAATTGCCATACTGACCAACAGAAAGCAGCTTGGTTTGAAAGTAACTTCTGTGTGAGCTTTCCATCTTGCATTACTACGCTATTGACAACAGACAGACTTTTTGCCCCTAATATTTTTACTGACCGCATCTTAATTAGGGGTGCGACGATAAATCGATTCATTGATCGATTCTGCAATTTTCCGAATTAATCGCGATTCTCTCTGGAATCAATTCTGAGCTTGATTTTTAACAGCAGATGGCACTGCATGCTTTAGAAACAGCTGTTCTTAAATTTTGAAAAGGTTGATTCGAATTACAAGTGTTCACATTATGTTGCGTTTACATTAATCTTGCGTCATAAAAGCATAAAAGCTGAGGTGCAAGTACATTTAACCACTTACATGACTCAGCCAAACACACAAGCGCTCTTCTTCGTGAGCATTAAGTGTGCGGTTAAAATCTAGCCTAGAGTGCCATCTGCTGTTAAAAACTAAGCTCAGAATCGATTCGAGAGAGAATCGTGATGCATTCAGAAAATCGCAAAATCAATCCTGAATCGATTTATCGGCGCACCCCTAACCTTAATGAAAAGCTTATCGGGAAAGTTGTTCAGCATCCCAATTCAAGCCGTTCTTGGCCCCTTTCCTCCCACCTCCATGCGTTATTTTTGTTTTCTCCACTTCACGCAGAGCGGCAATGAGCCCTTTGAGCTCCCGCCCCTCCTGCAAGCTGCAATCTGTACAAACCGCGTCACGCCTCTGTCGAGTGACCCCGGCGGTCGTGGAGATCCTCGGCTGCTGCGGTTTATCTCGTGTCAGCTCAGTGCTCTAAATTGTGTGACAGCGCAAAGCCACGGATGAGACAAGCTGTCAGTCAGGGCGCCCCTGCTGCCCTTTGAAGGCGAGGCCAGGGGGCAGAAAGGTGCCGCAAATGGCCTGTGAAGTTTACATACACTGCCCACTGCTAAACAGATTACCTCTAATGAAGTGTCTGGAGCTCGGGCCGCGTCAGGCCTAATCCTGGCTGGCAGTGCGTCCCTTCGGCTGCCAAAAAAGCCGCCACCCTCTGGCCTCCTCCCGCCGCTATGTCGGCCTCCCCGGCGCTGGGAGGTGCCCGTCGTTAATCAGGCCGGACAGTGCGCGAGCTGACATGCAAATGTAGGTCATTGCATATGTAAATGTGTGATTAGCAAGCCGCATGCCAGAACACATTAGCTCGACTTTGCTCTCAGCATGCGCTTGTCATGCCGCTTTAAGAGGCTCATGCTAACATTTGTCAAGCGACCATGCGGGGAGTGAAAGCAATGCCTTGGCCCTCTGCGGACCATCCGCTGCTGACCAAATCAACACCATACATATGTATCTTCTATGGGTCAATGACAAATAAGTGTTTTCTCAATAAACAAAGGGAAAATCTTTTAAAAATCCAGTTTAAAACACATGTGCCATATGTGGGTATCATATGGTTTTGAAAATTAATTGGTTCATATAATAAGTATCATTAATTGCACCATATGACGTCCGCTGGGTCCTCTATGATGTAATTTCCTGTTTTGTTTTCCGGCTCCACATGGTTTTTATTTGGCTGACGAAAGTGTAGTACTTGTTGATTATATTATATAAATATATATTTGTATATTTTTGTCGTCATTAAAAGGAAGTAATTTTAATACTTTAATCTGTGTTATTTTAGCATTATTTATACTATTTTAATATTTTTAAGTTAGTTTTAATTTTAGTTTGTTCAGTGACTTTTGTTATTTGATTTTGTCATTATTATTATTATTTATTTATTTATTTGTTCAGTTTTAGTAATTTTAATTAGTTGCCGAAGCACCGTTTCTCATTTTCGTTATGAATGTTTTTAATCTAATTTATATTTTATTTTAGACTTTAACAAACTATTTTAATAGTTTTAGCTTTAGTAAACGATAACAACACTGTTGTTAATGAATGAATACATTTGTCATTGACCCCCCCTAGGCTACCCTATGTTTTATTTTTATTTTTTGTTGGTTTGTATAACCATGAAAAACATGAATTTTCCAACTTACTAATGTGTTCATATAACCATTTTTTCATAAGCCTCTCTGGATTTGACACAAAATAACTACACATTGCCGAGAAACCTGGTGTCTTGGATATTAGCTTGATATTGTTAAATTTAGTCAGATCCAGCTTTCTCTCTTCGCTGCGGTGGCAGAAAGAGAGCGCTGCTTCTGCTGCACCAGATGTGTCCCTGGAAGAAGGGGCTGAGAGCGTGTTGTCACATGGAAAAACAAGCTACCTCAGTGTGTTAATTGGATGGGGCAATTCTTTGGCTCACACCTTTTTTTTCCCCTTAAAGCTGTCAAGTTAGAAAACAATGAAATTCTTAAATTGGTCGCCCCTTGATCTACATCCACCCCTCTGGCGTCTAGTCAAGTTGCAGTGCTTCCTGCAACTCATTTCTTTCAGTTCAACCCGTTATATATATCAGAGAGTTTTACACAATAATTTTGATGGATCTGACAGATCGTCCAAGTATTCTGGTATTGTAAGAATGACAGAAAGAAAGTCGTTTGTTGCTACGACTGAATATCCTAATGGATGAACGTTTCGGGGAGTTGAGCGAAGCTTAATCTTAATATGGAACCATAATATTAAAATGCATTCCATGACTATAAATAAAAGATTTAGCGTGTTTACAAGAATACGATTTTGTCATCCTTCCCCTCCCTTTCGCATCTTCACAATGTAATTTGCCTTCAAGGCCGTCTTATAGCCGTCCTCGGGTTGTTCTCCACGACATGACAATGCGTTCCACTATCTGTCACCTCCAGTTGCCAGAACGTTTGCGGGATTAAAGTTTACACTTGAAAAGCCTCTAAAGGTCAAAGTGTTAATTTATTTATTTATTTGCTCACGCCATCTCCGAGGGGCTAATTCCGGGTTTTGTTTAGATTTTTAATTTTAGAGCGCAAGTGTCAAGGCGCTGCATGGATTCTTGGGAAAATCACTCAGGGCGGTTTGTCACTAACTGGTCCAGCATAAGTCACTTCAGAAGTAGGGATGTCACCACTCGCCTGATTCGTCCAGACAGTATACGGCAAAGTTTCATATTGCGCTTTGGATTCAAAGTGGATGGTTAATGTTGATTCGTTCCCACACTCTCTTGCCCTGACATATCGCCCTAATGACACCTATCCCAGATGCCCTCCAGAGTTTTCTTCCTTCACTTGGCATATAAACAAACACAATCATGGAGTTCGGCTGGCAATGGCCGATCTGTGGGGACATGTTTGTTTTGTCTTTTTAAGTTTAAGACTAACAGAAAAACATAAAACGAAAGCTGTGTGATGTGCATTTCTGTTTCTTGAAATGTTCTTTTGTTCTTTATTTTCAGAAAATCCAACAGGATATGGGCTATAACAATTTAGCCAATTTTCACATTATAAAGAAGATCGGAAGGGGACAGTTCAGCGAGGTTTATCGAGCTACATACATGCTAGACCATACACCGGTAGCTTTGAAAAAAGTGCAGGTAAGAAGTGTCTTCGTGAAATAAGTAAATTTGACAGTATCTCTGCAATTATATTTTTAGTATATGTTTTATGTCGGTAAAGTCTGGTGTAAACATTTTGTCACTTGAAATAAAATAAACTGAAATCAAAATAAAGTATATTTACATATATGGTAAAGTGTGTGTGTGTATATGTATATGTGTATATATATGTATATGTGTGTGTGTGTGTGTGTATATGTATACTTGTCAAAGCAACTAAAATACAAATTTATTAATAAATTAATAAAAAGCAAATAGGCATTAAAAAAACTATTAAAAATGGCAAAAACAACTAAATTACTGAAACTTGAAAAAATAAAAATAAAAACTCAATATATATTATTTTTGAAGATTTTACAATATTTCTTGATATTTTGGCCATTGTATTTGCTCTGAAATGGCTTGAAAATGCCGGGGTTTTAAATGTTGTTTATGTTTATATTATTAAACGTTAATATCGTAATAAAATATTTACAGAGTAATTACATGTAATAATTTTAATTGCATACACAATATCACAATTTAATAATGTTGTTTAAGCATTTTTAATTAACAGAGTTATTGAAAGTAAATATATTGTAAATATTTAGTTGCTATATTAACAATTTTAAGTCTTGTGTAATTAACAAAATAAATATAATTTTCTTTTCCTTCTTTTTTTTTTTTACACTGAAGCATAAATCTGAACCGTCCAAAAGCCACTTTGAGAGATTCATGTTTGGATGGAAGCTTGTTGTATTTTGTATCTTGATTAACAACATTTGTTCTGCTGCAACACACGATTACACAGCTGAAGGAAATTGTTGAAGGAAACACTTTTTATATGACTTTAATCCAAAGTTAGTGGCTAAGCAAATTGGGAATTTATTTATTTATTTATTTTAACCAAAATATTATTATAAGATAAAACAGTGCTATAAATTGAAACACTTTATATGAGTTTAATCTGAAGTCAGTGGCTAATCAAATCTGGAATTTTAATTAATTTATTAATTTGTTTGTTCATTTTTTGGAACATTGAGTCATGAATTTCATATAACAAAAACATTATTATAAGATAAAACATTACTGGATTGATTGATTAATTGATTGGAAAGCAGCAAAACCCTCTTTTCATAAACACAGCCATCAATACATTTGTGGAAATTTCGTTCGAACAGAAGCAGGCATCTGATTGGCTCTTACACTGATAATCACGATTGAATCTGTTTCTTTTCCTACCATAAAGCATATTCACAGACACAGCCAGCACAAAAAAAGCTCCACAGTTTCCTCCGGATGTGCAAAGCAGACGTGCTGGAAGAAATAATTGGCAAGCTCAAGATTAAAAGAGTGATGCCTGGATACTATAGTTTCTGCTTTCCTAACGCACACACAGCGGTCGACTCTGTCGCCACCACTGACTTTATTAACACTAATAATGAGCCCAGAAACTATTGGCATTTTTGTATATGCCATTAAAAACGACTGGTAGTAACAGTCTTGACTCAGTGAATATATCCCATAATGCAGTTCATTCATGCCACTTGTTGGCTTAAAAATTCAAGATTTAGAGCTGCAGATACATAATATTTCATACATATTGCAATGCAAATCAACTTCAATCCCTCGGATTTTGTACATGGTTCAAAGCTGTCAGGTTGGATGTCCAGTCCACTATGGGCAACATTTACACCTTTTGTGATTACGATAATTATTATAATTGGTGTTTTCTGACGCAAATGTTGTGCAACCCTAATTGTATGAATATCTGGACTAGATTCACTCGCTTCAGGTTTGAAAGTTTTCGTTTGATTTTTCGACTTTTGCCTCGAGATGCTCATAAGATTTTCTGTGTGCCGTTTACACTGTGTGCTTTATTATCAGGTCAGACATGATCAAAACAGTGTTTTAACAGCTACATCTAACATTCTGTCGGCATAATCAGCTTTTGATATTCTAAAACGGCACAAACAATCTTGTTTTACAACAAGTACGGTAAAATGTAAAGTCAGACGGTTATAGCAAAATAAATTGTGTTGTCAGAATGTGGACATGAAACTTCTTATTTAAAATAAAATAAAATATTCATTTAATTATATTTAATTAAGAAATAAATAAAAGATAAATAAATGCAATGCAAGTAAATAAAAATATCAATAATTTGTAATAAAAAAAATGCTAATAAACTAATTCGGGAAATATATAAATGTATTAATACAAATAAAGATATAAATAATTAGTAATAAATTAAATAAATGAATACAAATAAATTCAAAGATCAATAAATTAATCAAAACAAACTTTTTGAAGTAATTTAGCAGTAATTTAATTATAATTATTACTAATAAATAAAGAAATTAAAAGAGAAATTAATTAATGTAATTAAATAAATGTTGATTTTTGTGCTATTTGAGTATTTTGGTGAAACATTACATAAAATGAACCCTGTGGTCTTGCACAGTTCTCCTGACCCATTAACAAAGGTGAATCTGACAAAATAGGGATGCTTGAGGCAGGAGGGGTGTAGATATGGTGGGGCAGGCATTTGGGGGTTTTGGGTTTCAGTGCCCCCTCCTTCTTGCTCTACCACCCAGTACAAGTAACATTTTTTACTTGCTTTTTCTTTTTCTGTCTTTATGCCATAACTCTTTCTCCTTCCTCTTTCTCTCTCCCTTTTGATCTTTTGATAGATATTCGACTTGATGGATGCCAAAGCTCGGCAAGATTGCATCAAAGAAATAGATCTCCTGAAGGTAAGAAACCAGAGAAAAGAGAGACCGACACCATGTGCTGCTATTAGGATATCTAAAGGTGCCTCTGCCGAGACCCGATACCAGAGAAACAGAGAGAGAGAGAGAGAGAGAGAGATATTCAGAAACGGAAAACAATTGATCTGGATTAGACCTTCAGCTCTTTCTTTCTCCCTCTCCCTCTTCCTCGTTCTCCTCTCTTTTTCTGTTAGGCAAGTACAGAACACGGTCCTCTTTGTATTGTTCCTTCAGGCCAAGATTGACTTCTTTTTTTTTTTTCTTTCTTTCTTTCTTTTTTTTTTCATTTGCAGTGCCACAAAAAACATTTTTTCGACAATAAGCATTTCAGACCAGCAGTTTAAAATATTTATTTATTTATCTACAATACATGCCCTGCCAGCATTTTATTTCGTCACAAAGCCGTAAATATGATAAATGGCTTTATGGTTTTGTGTGTTATTTAAATAATAATATTATGTTTTGTTTACCAAAATACGTAATTTAATTTATATAATTTATGTGTATAAAAATTAAATCTATATCTTTCTGTCTATCTATCTATCTGTCTATCTATCTGTCTGTCTGTCTGTCTATACACATTTTTTAATTTGAGGGGTGGAGGTGGGCATGTTTTAGACTAGCCTGATTTTGTGAGCTGTATGTGAGGCGGCCTTTTACACCAGGTCCACACATACTCCGTTTGCAGTGTGCATGCAGTTCGTGTGTGGTACGAATCCTAACCCTAACCCTTTTCTTTTGCATTTAAATCATAAAGAACATAATTCATAAAGAACTTTGTTTTCCTACCTCCACGAGTGCCTTTTATTATTGCCTTGTTTATCTAAAAGTGCTCTTTTCCTTTAAACCTAGCCAAAAAGCCATAGCCTATGTGTTGACTGTGAAACATGATTTAATTATAAGCATTTATGGTGTAATTACTAAATTTTCATGTCAATCCATGTTCATATTTACTGCAAACAATGTGCTGTCACTTAAATTCAGTGCTTGCAGCGGAAACAGACTCGATCTCTGCTGCAGAAGCACCGCTCCTGGAACTCACTGCTGCACCGCAACCGTGTGCAGTGTGAACGCTTTAATCCGTTAACATGAGTATGGAAAAAATACGCACCGCATACGAACTGCAAATGGAGTAATGGGAACCTACCGTTATGTGTGTGTGCTGCGAGTGTGCATGAGCGTATGGTCTCCAGGAGAGTGCGCGGTCCCTGAATGGTTAAACTCTGGCAACAATTTAAAATAATTGCAATTTATAAACTTTAGTGACGATGCGACACTATGGAGCCAGATCAGCCTCAAAAATAACACATTTGCAAAACAAAATTCATACGTGCACAGCACAATTTACATTTACAAAATCCGATTCGTAAATTCAAAACACAATTCATAAATACACAAGTAAAAGCATAAATATTTCCCCAAATGCTCACACAAATGCATCTTACCTAAATAAATTTAAAATGTTTACACAAATATGTATATATAAATGTCTTGAATTAATTTCCATCACACATTTATGAATAATGGTACATGTATTTATGGATCGTTGAATCTGCATTTGCAAATCATCACACATGCGTGGACTGCTTTGAATTTGTGTGTGGTATTTTTGAGACCTTCCTGGCAGGTTAAGATTCATAAATATATTTTTTTTGGAGGATGTTCCGTTCAGCCAATCGCG